GGCCCCACACGCACCGGCTGCTGCAGTGACCATCAGGGCTTCTGGGAGCTTTTTTAGAAAAAGAGCCAGGTCATTGGGGCTGGGTGGGGCAGCCATTGGCAGGGCTGGGAAAGCAGGTGGGGGATGGGGACTGTTTGATTTGGAGATTCAGCAGCGGCCGAATCTCTGAATCAGATTTGGCCGAATCGATTTGGGACAGTGATTTGAATCACCTAATCGAATCACTGTACCCTGAATCAGCTGAATCTGAATCCAAAGCAAATAGCTGATTCACACAGTCCTAATAAATATTCTAGAAATGATCACTAAATTTGTGAAGTAGATAATTTTTTAACTTAAAATGAGGAGTAATATTTCAACGGGGAAGTTAAGTATTGTAAAACTACAGTAAACTTAGCTTAATTGCTCCCTCCAAGAGGAGAGCAATAATGGTAAATCACTAGTAATGGTGTGAAGGAGTGAGAGAAAGTAAACAGAAGCCCCGAGGTGCCTTACATACTGGGCAGGGGAGGTCAGGAGAGGAAAAGAAGCCAGCAGTGACAGAAAGGGGAAATGAAAGCAAGCAACACTTAGTGTGGATGGCTGGCAGGGCTGCAGCTGGAGACTGGAAGGGAAGAGAAGCGATAACCGCACTTCCAGAGCAGCATCTCACTCCAGATTGGAGGAGGGAGGCTGCTCAGAGGTATTTCTGGCCCTGGAGAGGGGCAGAAGGGGTTGATTCCCTGCGAGCCGCAGAGAGGAGCAGCTGAGCATCCCAGCAGGCAAGTGTTGTGAACCCTGCCACAGAAACGCTGTGAGTGTGATCCAGAGAAAGAAGCAGGCAGAGGTCTGCCCACACAAGGCTTCTGATAATTCCTGGAGCAGAGTGGTGGCTGAGGATCCAGGAGAGAGGCCAGAAGATTTGCTGTTTTCAGGTTAGAGCCTTGCTGCACATGGGAGAGATCCCACCAGGACTGTGAATATTCACGAGTAAACCGGGGCAGGCCTGTGCTGAGCAGTGACTAAATTAACTTTTTTTTTTCTGTTTGTTATTTGGACATGAGAGCCTGACCCCAGGTGAAAGGGACATGGACTGAGTCAGACAAAGAGACTGAGAGCAGTTTGGCTTTTTTTTGTGGATATTTGAGTACAGGCCAAGGCCAGCCCCTGGAAGGGTATGTGCCTAACTATAACCGATGGTCACCCTGATGGCTAAGGGCGGAACAGTAGACAAACAGGCAGAATCAAGATCTGGCTGCAGAGAACTACAAATGCCATCTGCAGAGGCTAGGGTCAGGTATAGGGGGGAGGTTAGAGTCCCACAGAAGAAAACAGGGTTTGAGACCTGGTAAGAGCACCTTGGGCATTGCTTCCTAGCAATATAATATCATCAAAGTTATGGCAGGCGAGAAACATGAGACCAGGTTCCTGGCAGACCAGGTGATCCGAAGTCGAGGTCTACCCTTAGGGAAATGAGCTCAGGGTAGTGGCAGCAAGCCCTACAACGCCTTCAGTCATTACAAGTGGCCAGTTATCAGGGTCAGTTATTAGGTGGCCAGGAGTCCACTGTGGGGCATCAGAACAGCAGCAAATTAAACCATAGTGGGAAATTATTCTACAGGCAAATTAACCAGTTCACTTTAGTAGTGGTAGCAACAAGAGCTAAGCAGCAGTGATCATTGAACTTTCATGATGGTTTACAGTCTTGAAGTAAAGCAAAACCAGAAAATAATCTTTCACAGTTTTGTCTGATTGATATTTGCAGTGTTTATCAATGTTGCATAAAGTTTATTACATGAATTAAAAGTTCTATTGCAACACACAAATTAACAGACATAAAACAAAAACTTTTACTGTTATGAATCTTGAATGTTTTATTAGCTTCAAATGTATAATCAGCAGGTTAATTCTCTCCAACCATGTTTTGCTAATTATACATTGTATTTAGTCATGCATTTATGTATAACTTATAGGCTATAGGCTTTCCCTATCAGTATGCAAATACTCATTCAGCCTTATTTAAATATAGGAACATTTGTATGAAAAATTAAAGTGAAAACAAACATCTTTGTATAGTATTACTTTCAAGGTCATGTCTAAAGTCAAGATTTCTCTGCTATAAATGTTGTAATTGAGAAGAGTCATTGAGGTTTCTTTCACTGGATATTTGGAAAATCTTTTAAGGGGTTGACTAAATCAAAAGCAAATGTCATTTAATGGGTTGCTTTTGTTCTCATTTTATTTAAAAAATTGTTTGCGGGTAGTCTTTTTCATTACCAGGTCAATTTGTTTAGGGCATAGATAGTTTCCAAACTGCAAACTTACATTTTCAGGGTCAGGGATCCAGACTTCTATTTCATAAGGAAGAAACTGAATCTTTATCTTTGGTCTGTGTCAATATAAACACATGTAAAATTGCCTTTAGGTAATCATGTTGATTATCCCTCATTTATGTTATATATTTTGAATAAGGTATTAAAGCCAAAAGAAAATTGGAGAAACTTAAGTCATGCTGTTAAATTTGTCTTGGGGAAACTAACTAAAGAATACATGAAACTGAAGAAACAAACAACACTGGGCAATCCATTTGCCTGCTCAGTAGCATATGTTGTGCTTTAACTTCTATTGACTTCATTAATGAAGTAATGTGCAATTTGTCTGGAGTAATAAGACTGGGAACCCAAACTATGTGGAAAGAAATTGGTATAAACAGCTTTTTTTCCAGATTAATTTCTTAAGTAAGGAGCAAAGTATTGTATGGCCATCAGAAAAGGATAAAGGAGGAGGAGGAAGAGGAGGAGGAGGAGCAGGTAGAAATAGTTCACCAGAATCTCATAGTTAGGTGCTCACAGGATATTTGTTTGCAGTAAATGTACAAGAGCTAGGAAATATCTGCCAACTTGCTAAAGGTGCAATAGGCTCATTTTTCAAAAGCATTGTGGCTAGTATTAAAGGTTGTATCAGACCAGTCTTTCTGGGAGGGAGAAACTTTGCTATGAGCAGTTATCATCAAATTCTGGGCATTTTATATGGCCTTTTCCAATGTTAAAATATGAATGTGAGGGTTCAGTAACTTGGCACTCTTCTTAGAGGCCAGCATATGTACTGTAAATTCAGAAACTGAAGAGTATGGTCTGAAAGGCACATTGCAACAGTATTGTATTGAGCAGGTGTTTGGATGATGTGAACTTAACTGAAGCAAGAAGGAAGTCTCTTGATTAATCCTACTGTAGCTTGTAATTATAAATATTCTTTTTAAAGGCTGATTAATTTTATAGCTGTTTCCTTTATTTCTTAACCTGAACTTTATCCAGTCTTCTAATTCACTGCGGCTCATATAGGCCAGGTACAGACATTACACTTTTACCAGTATAAATGATCAGAAGCTGGTCTATATCTGTAACAGAACAGAAGTTTGGCACACATGGACTGATTTTAAAATGGCAGAACCTGGTCTAAGATTTGTTTTCTCCCACACTCCCCTCCCCTCCCCTCCCCCCACCAAATGATGCATGTGTGTTCTGTTTATTACTAGTCTAAACTATGCCACTTACAGAAAACTGCGTAACTTGGATCAATTCCGTCTCAGGCTTTTTGAATGTTTGTACTTAGCCATAGTGTTTGAAATATTCTTTCACTGCTTCTGGTTCAATACCTGTTATGTCTCATGCTCTAATTCTAGACCATAAATAAGTCCTGGGCTAAACCATACTACTTCATTTTGCGCAAAGTTTTGTAAAAACCCTAAAGACTTTCAATAGATAGAGACTTGGAATTGTCGGCAATCCTTCAATTCAAGGATGATCTCTACCATGGATCATTGATGGGTCTCAAGGTGACTTAAGAGTCCAGTCCTTGAGCCACAGTTTGCAAAA